TGTATATGTATTATAACTCTATGAAGTGGCTACCTGGCTACCAAATAGTTTCAAGTGTAAATAAAGCTTTGTCCTAACAGCAGCTCAAATTTAAACACTTCTTAAGAATAGCTACAAAAGAACAACTTTCTGCAGCTCAAAGTGTCAAAATCCAACAAGACTCAGAGTTTTTGTTTACTCTCTTTCAGGTAATTCTCAGCTTGAAGGATCACAATGAGGAAACACGAAACACTATACTTGTTTTCTTAGCTGAATCAATTTTGTGCAATCTGATGACACAAACAGATATTACACCAAATATAGCTTCTTCAGATGTATTGTAAGGCTCAAATGTTTTAAATAAATCTAACTCCATAGCCGCACTAAACCACCTCCTCCATCCCATACTCTGCCCTGAAGTAAAGCTGATCTGTCCCAGCTGCACACAGATGTTTGAGTAGAAATMAGTTTTACCCTTTTTTTCCTGAGTATGTTCTAAAATAAGAAGCAGTGAAGCTAAAAACACATAATTTCATTTAACAAATAAGAGAATAAGCTGGCATGAAAGCATTAAAAACAGCTCTGTACATAAAAAACATTGCCATGTTTATTATTATAACTCACCTGGGTACATTTTGCTGACCTCCTGAACAAAAAACTCGTCAAATCCTGCAATTATGGCGCCACCTACTGGAACCATGAAGTTCTTGTCCAAGCTCTGAACGAAAGCGTCGATTCTTCCCACTCGAGCCCCCTGATGGAGAACACATTTAACCACATGACCTAAAAATAAACACTGCCTTATAATATCACATAAAAGTAAATATCAGAAAAATCAGAGCAAAAATTAAAAAATTATTATTATTAACTTCATTTCATTATAAAAAACAACACACATTTAAATACAACAAAACAATACTAATCAAATAAAATGAAAGGTAGCAGAAGAAGAAAGAAATCTTATATCTGCCCGTTTGCAAAAAATATATTAATTTCAAACAATAGTAATTAAATAATAAAACTAAACAAAAAATTCAACTCCTCAAACAATAACTCTTACAAAAACAAATTATACAATTTCATATTTTTTTAGCAATTTAACCTTTCTCATTGTCTTAAACAAACTGAGCCAGTATTTTTACAATCCTCATCCAGATTAT